ACTTTTCCAAGCATGATGCCCCTCTCTAAGGAATATCCTGTCCTAGCAACATGCCTGAAATATGTTGGGACGAAGTATGTGGGATGAAGCTTTGTTATCTTTACTCCCAAGGGGAACTCTGACTGCACTCTCTCCAAGACATATTTGTTTGTTCTCTTGGCCATCCATGGGATGTTCCGTGCTCTTTTCCAATACCACAAGTCAAAGGCATCAATTTTTCTTCTGTCATCCGTATTCATTGTCCAGCTCTTACATTTATAAAAAGTGATTTAAAGGACCATGGTCTGAATCAGGTACATCTTAGCTTTCAAACTGACATCACTGTTCCTCAATAATTTGAAGAAGTCCCTACTTGCAGACTTTTCCAGTGCAGGACATCTTCTGATTTCCCGACTACTTGCTACCAAGGGTGTGATTGTGAACCAAATAATATGAAGTCATGATAGTTTCAATCTTTACTCCACATATCATGATGTTGTTGATAGGGCCAGTGGTGAGAATTTTTGTTTTCTTGATGTTGAGACGCAATCAATATTGAAGGTAGAATTCTTTGATCTTCAGCAGCAAATAGTTCAAGTCCTCTGCATATTCAGCAAGCAAGGTTGTGTCATCTGCATAATGCAAGCTATTGATGAGTCTTTCTCCAATCTTTATGCTCCATTATTCTTCATACAGATTGAATAGATATGGCAAAAAGATACAACCCTGACACATTCCCTCCCTGCTTTGTTCACACAACAGTCTCTTGTTCTAGTTAAAGATTTTGTATAAGCATAATTAAGTGTTCTGGGATTCCCATTTTTCTCAATGCTATTTGTTAAGATCTACACAGTCAAATTTCTTTGCATAATCAATAGAGCATAAATAGACATTCTTCTGGTATTCTTTACTTGTAGCCAGGATCCAATGTTCTCCTATTCACAGATAATTCTGTGTTCCTCTATTATTCATGGTCCTCTCTATTATTTTTCCATGAATAGCAGAGAAAGAAAATAAATAAAATTAATAAATAGATAAACTGAATAAAGAGAGAGAATAATAAGCATTTTAGTAGTTATTTTAATAAATCAAATGACAAGTAATTTAGCAGGCTAAATAAATATAAAGACTAGAGGTTTCAATCATCACTATGGAGTGCATCTCCACCTAAATTAAAAAAAAAAATTCTTACATGTAGGCCAAGAGTAAACAGGATAAACAGAGAAAAGATTGAATTTGTGAAAGATTTAATTTTACTTGCATCCACAATCAACTCAAATGATATATTGCATTGGAAAAGTTTGCAGTCATGAAACCCTTTAAAGTACTAAAGAACAAGTATGTCAGTTTAAAGACAAAGTTGTGCCTGACCCAAGCCATAGTATTGTAAATTGATTTAAATGCATGTGAAAGTTGGACAATGAATGTGGAACACTGAAGATTTTTTGCCTTTAACTTGTAGTGTTGGTAAAAAATATTGAATATATTGTAGATGGCTAAGAAATCTAACTTGAAAGAAGTGCAACTGAAGTGCTCCTTAGAGACAGAGATGGGGAGACTTTTTCACATGTACTTTTGGCATATTGTCAGGAGAGGACAGTTCTCAGAAAAGGACATTATGCTTGGAAAAGCAGAGGGTCAGCAGAGGAGAGGAAGAGCCTCAATAAAAATAATAGAAACAGTGACTGCAACAATGGGATTAAATTAAGCAGAAATTATGACAATGGCGCAGGTTTGGGTAGTTTCATTCTGTTGTATATATAGTCACTATAAGTCAGAACAGAGTACTGAATATCCCATGCAGACCCAAAAGAAGGAAAGAAAGTGTAGACAGAGTGCTCTGTAGAGGCAAAGATAATGAAGTTTCATCTCTCTTACTTTGAGCATGTTGCTAGGAAAGCTTATTCCTTGGAGAGACAAGATGTTTGGGAAGGTGGACAGTCAGCAAAGGAGAAGAAGACCCTCAATAAGTTAACACAGTGACTGTAGCAATGGGTTTGAGTGTGTTAGAGATTGTGAGGATAAAACAGGACAGGTTTCAGATAGGTCCTTCATTGGGTCACTATGAGTTGTACTTGACTTGAAGGCACCTAACCATAACAACAACAACATACTCCGTGCTCTCATACAAGTCTTTTGATTGAGTTTGTATTAGCTTCAAATTTATGCTTTATCTGCAGGATTTCAACCATGGAAAAGTCAGCAGATTCTTCTTGGTTTATTACTGACTAAAATGAGAAAATTTAACAATTTAAATTGTTCTTGCTCAGTTCCACAATCAACACTCTTGGCATCAGTAGTTAGGAAATCAAAAGACAAATTGCATTAGGAAAATCTGCTGTCAGAGACCTCTTCATAGTGCTGAAGAATAGGGATGTCAGTCTAGAGATGAAAGTGATCCAGATCCAAGCCATGATCTTTGAAATTGCTGGCTATGCATAAGAGAGCTGGACAATGACCTAGGATGGCAGAAGAAGAATTGATGCCTTTTAGTTGTGGTAATGGAGAAGAGTATTGAAATACCGTGGACCGCCAAGAGAACTATCAGGTTGAGAGAGTGAAATCAAGCTGCTCCTTGGAGGCAAGAATTTTGAGACTGTCTCACAGACCATGAGCATGTAGCCAGGAGGGACCAGTGTTTGGAGAAGGACATTATGCTTGGAAGAGTCCAGGAGCAGCACATGAGAGGAAGACTCCGAATGAGAGGGATTGAAACTCTAATTGGAGTAATGAGGATAGGTACGTCAGAGCCAGTGAGATTAGCTCAGGATGGAGCAGGGTTCAGAGCTATTGTGCATAGGACTGCTATAACTCAGCAACACATAACAGCAACAAAACCTCACTTAAGGCATCAGCAAGTTCAGCATGAACTTTATTATGCAGAGTTATACTTCAATTTGTTCCAAACAGTCTTGTGTCTTTTTCTTTGTACCTTAACACCCTTCAGTTATTGTTATGGGATAAAAACTTTTAAAAATGTAGAGATCTGTCTGCTTCAGCAACTGTTCCATAGTAAGAACATTGTAAGTAGTACAAGCACCACTTATGTCATCCCTAGAATGTTGTTACTTCTGTTATTAAGAAAGCTATGGAGTGTTGACTATTGATTAGTGAAGGACAATGTTATCTTTTGTAAGTTTGATGTTTTCAGCACCAGAAACACACAACTTCTTGGTATCTTTAGACCCCAGGCTGGTCCTCAGATGCCATGCAGCCCTTGGGCTACAATGACATTGACAGCTGTTGCCATCTATTTGGACTTGGATCATCTTGCCCTTGGTGTCAAGGATCTTAATGGTCATCATGGTGAGCCCAGTAGGGGAAGAGGATGAGACCTAGCATGTATAAATCCCAAGGCCAAGTCATTGTGCATCTATTGATTTGTTACTTTATCCAGTAATAATGTTGTTTTTGTTGAGTTCCATTGAGTCAAATGTGACTAATAGTGATGTATTAAAAAAAGAAGCAAACCATGTCTTATCCTGTGATATCTTAATCATCTCTGACATCAAGTAACAATAGGAAATATTTCTTATTAAGTGGAATCAGTAATAGTTTATTCTGAAAGAACAAAACAAAAGGCAGAGGAAACAGTGGGAGTATAGACATCTATATCTAACAAGAAGAATACATTGGGAATGAGCTTCAGGAAAAGTCAGAGGGCAACTAAACCTTGAACATATGGAATAGAGGAAGCTTAGAGTTCTAAATAAGGTTAGAAGCAGTAAGAGTTCTTGTTGACAGTGAATCAGATAATTGACCTTATTTATTGTGAACATAGTGACTCTAGAGCCCAGGAGATATAACCAGTGGGAGAAGCCAAAGAGAAGATCATATTTCTATATATGTGCTTGAGGAACACAGGCACTGTAACTCACACCCACCCACTCACACACTCCAAGATAAGATATTATCATTCAAAGAATTTTTTTGTAAAACAAAATTTGTTGTTGTTGTTGTTATGTGCCGTCGAGTCTTTTGCGACTCATAGCGACCCTATGCACAACAGCCCTAAACCCTGCTCTATCCTGCGCCAACCGCACCGCCTCTGACACACCCATCCCGATTACCCCAGTCACCGAATCAATCCATCTCATAGAGGGTCTTCCCCTCCTGCACTGTCCCTCCACCCTCCCAAGCATGATGTCCCTCTCCAAGGACCCGTCCCTCCTGGCAACATGTCCAAAGTACGTCAGACGAAGCCCCAGAATCCTTGCCTCCAAGGAGTAGCTTGGTTTAATCCTCTCCAAGATGAATCTGTTTGTTTTCCTGGCAGTCCATGGTACATTCAGTACCCTTCTCCAGCACCACAGCTCAAAAGCATCCACTCTCCTTCTGTCCTCCCTATGCATTTATAAAACAAAATGCATGAGAATAATAATTTTGTATGAAACACAACATGAATGATGAAGAATAATGTGAAACATAATGTACATAGTTTGTAAGCACACATTTAAAAAATGTTGTAAAATAGAATGTATCTAAATGATTATATGAAACACAATGTAAATAAAAATGCAATCCAATGTATATGAATGAAAAATAATGTTAAGGAATTATATACAAACCAATAAAATATTAAAAAATAATTTCTAACAGCTTTGAATAGAATAGTGATTATGTCTGTATATTTTTATACAGATGTGTACAAAAATTCTCTGGTGATTAAGGTGACTTTAAGATACTTAAATCAATAAAGACATTACTTAGGAACTTTATGAGATTTGATATAAGTATGAAAAGAGTAAAAATAATGTAATATTGTTAAGTAGAGAGACATTATGTTGTAAGTCTGTGATGGAACCTAGGGCAGAATTGTCCAACAAAGATGTGAAGTAGAAAATTATAGAGTCCAGGGACAATTGATGAAATAATGAAACTATAAATAAACTATAATAAGTGGGTTTTAACATAGAAGTCAATACACTGTAGCTAACTGTTGTTAACTGGTCCTAAATAAATAAGTAGGATTTAGATCTATTGTCAGGTTTGTTTGTCCCACACAAACAGCCCTCTTCTAATTAAGGCCCATGTATATTGGTAGATTCCATTTCCATTTGAGATTTAATCTTGTTTATCAGTTTTGCCAAACCCTGTTTCAGATCTTTGTTTCTGAGACTGTAGATAAATGGGTTTAGCATCGACGTCAATACAGTGTAGATGACTGTTGCTATTCGATCTTTAACCGTATAACTAGACAAAGGCTGGAAATAGACATAGCTGATACTTCCATAAAACAGAGTCACCACAATGAGATGAGAACTGCAGGTGGAGAAGGCTTTGCGTTTTCCTGCAGCTGAGGGGATCCTGAAAACTGCAATGAGGATCTGCAGGTAAGAGATGATGATGCAGACAAATGGAGCCATCACAGAGGCCAGTCCTTCTGTTAAGGCCACAAGTTCATTGATGGACGTAGAAGAGCAGGACAGTTTCAGAAGTGGGTTAACATCGCAAAAAAAGTGGTGAATAACATTTGAAGCACAAAATGTGAGCCGATTCACTAAGAGGACATGTAGGAGGGAGTGAAGACAGGAGAAAACAATGGAAAAGGACACTAGCAACAAACAGCGTCTGTGGCTCATAACAGTGATATAGTGGAAAGGATTACAAATAGCTACATGACGGTCAATGGCCATAGCTGCCAGGAGGTAACTATCCATGTTCCCAAAGACAAGGAAGAAATACATCTGTGTCAGACATTCACCATAGGCAATAGTCTTAGTTTCCGATAAGAAGGTCATCAGCATCTTGGGGACTATGACTGTAGTGTAGCAAATATCAGCAAAAGATAAGATGCTTAGAAAGAAATACATGGGGTTTTGGAGCTTAAGATCAAAGTGGATGGTCAAGATGATTAGCAAATTTCCCACCAAAGTGACCAGGTAAATTGTGAAAAAGAGTGCAAAGAGCAGTTTCTGGTCCTCAGGACGAGAAGAGAGTCCCAATAGTATAAAAACAGAAGATCTTGTTTGGTTAAACATTCCTATGGGCTTGTGTGCACCTACAGATAAACAACATTATTGTAATTAATAGCTGTTACTTCCTAGACATGCACCTTCCCATCTTTTTCCTTTACATACTATAGGATTTAGTGCATTTAAACACCCATGACTACGTATCATCAGCTCTACATATTATATGTGGAAACACTGAAGTGTAAAGAACTTTCCTCAGGGAACCAGGATGCTATCATGTCTCCTCATTCCAGTTCCTGTTTATGTAGGTTTAGTTTACCATGTTTCTGGGTATGTTTATTAACTAAGACTGTTATTAACTTCCCAGTTTTCCAAAGTTTTCAGAGAAATTTTTATTTTTTGAGATGTGACTTGAGAGAAAGGTGGGCATTGGTGGAGAAAACTTGGGTCAAGAGGGGAGCTCTGGTGGCCTAGTGGCAAGAAGCTGCACTGCAATCCCAGAGATATGTGGTTCGAATCCACCAGATGCTCTGCCGGAAAAGGAGGGGCAATCTCCTCCTGTACCTGTCAGATCTGATTTGACGGTACACACACACAAAATAAAAAATTTAAAAAAAAAAACACAAAAAACTTGGGTCAAGAGAATCTCCTAGTCTTGGTGTATCCTCCTCTTATGCATCTATTTTTCTGAGGGGCATGATGCATGAGGGCATTGTTAGCACTGGTCATATCCTCTCTGTGACCAACCTTCATAGGAAATCTTGAGTTTTCTGTACATTCTGTTTCCATATGCACATCTCATGTCCTCTGCTTAACTAAACCCATGCAGGCTTTTCCTATCACCAATCTAAGAAAGGATTCTTTGCCACTACTGACTTATCCTTGAGCAAGCATGTCACATTATTGACTATTTTCTTTTGTTGGAAACACTTCTTAAAATTTAAATTTGTTTTCCGGTACTATTTTTTCATGATATTGCTACTTTTGTTAAAAATCAGATTCTCCCTTTCAATCTGGATTCTTCTCTTTCCTCTTTTGCAATGTTGGGATGCCCCAGGGACCAATCATCTATCTATTCTTTCCTTTTTTTTCCTTTGGTGATCTTAACCAATCTTCATGTATTAACTGTCATATGTATGGTAAAAATTACAGACATTAGGTACCTAATTCTAAATTATTTCCTGAATTACAAATTTATATATCAAAGTGCAACTTCACATCTACCTTTGAAAGTCCAGTGACATTTTATTTATTTTTCAAAGAACAAAAATCTCATTGTTTTCCCCACCCTGTAAATATTTTTCTCCTTAGAACATCCTATCTTAATAAATGGTGTCATCACATCTAAGAGACTCATTCTTTTTTTTTTCTAATGTGCTCACATAATCTCTTAGAAAGACCTATTGTCTCTTGCCCAAAGTATATTCCAATCTCAATATTTTTCTTCTTTCATACCAATACCAATACAAATACCAATAGTCATCTTGTCATCTTTCAAGTACAGTAAATTTTAGTAAATCCCTAAATTTGCTTTGTATATACCTCTCCATTTTCCTATAATCACTTCTCTGCAAGTGAAACAGAATTATCTTGGGAAAACATAGTTCACAATATATTAGTATTCTGCTAAAAATCTCCAAACACTTTTCCATCTAAACATTACATCTGAACTTTTTATGATGTCCTACCTAGCCCTCTCTAAGAACTTGCCCTTCCTTGCAACATTCCCAAAGTACTTCAAATGAAGCTTCAGAATCCTTGCCTTCAAAGAGCACCCTTTCTAGGATGAACCTGTTTGTTCTCCTAGCAGTCCATGGTATATACAATACTCTTCTCCAGCACCATAGCTCAAAGACATTCTATCATCCCTTGTCATTGTCCAATTTTCTGAGGTGTAGTAAGTAATTACAAATATTATGGCCTAGATCAGGTGCACTTTATTCACACTATCTTGCCCTATTTTACTCTATTTTATTGTAGCATATATTCTGACTGTGTAACATCTATTCCTGGAGCCTTATTTTTGCCATTTCCTTCAAAGCAGCCTGAACTTCTTTCATCACCATAGGCTCTTGCTCATATGTTGTTTCATGAAATTCTTCTGTGTCTTCCAATTCTTTTCGATACAGTGACTCAGTATTTTCCTTCCATCTTCTTTTAATACATTCGGGATCATTTAACGTTCTGCCGAAAGCATCCTTGATTATAGCAACTCGAGGTTTGAATTTGTTCTTCAGTTCCTTGAGCTTAAGAAATGCTGAGTGAGTTTGGCCCTTTTGATTTTCTGACTCCAACTCCTTACACATTTCATTGTAATATTTTGCTTTGTCATCCAGTGCTGCCTTTTTAAATCTTCTATTCAACTCTTTAGTATCTTGAATTCTTCCTTGTGTTTTGGCTTCTCTGTGCTCCAGTGCAATTTTCAGAGTCTCTTCTGACATCCATTTTGGTCTTTTCTTCCTCTTCTGACTTTGCAATGACCTTTTGCACTCTTCCTGGATGATACCCTTGATACCCTCCCACAACTCATCTGGTCTTCGCTCATTAGTGTTCAAGGCCTCAAACCTGTTCCTGAGATGGTTCTGAAATTCAGGTGGGATAGACTCAAAGTTATATCACTTGTTATGCATCAGAGAGTTGGACAATGACCAAGGAGGATAGAAGGAGAATTGATGCCTTTGAGCTGTGGTGCTGGAGAAGAGTATTGAGAGTCCCATGGACTGCCAAGAAAACAGACAGATTCATACTGGAATGATGCTGCTGCTTGGAGGCAAGGATTATGAGGCTCTGTCTAACATACTTTGGACATGTTGTGAGGAGAGACTGGTCCTTGGAGTAGGACATCATGCTTGGGAGGGTGGAGGGCCAGCACAGGAGGGGAAGGCTCTCTATGAGGTGGATTGATTGAGTGACTGGGATAATCGGGATGGGAGTGTCAGAGATAGTGCAATTGGCACAGGACAGAGCAGAGTTTAGGGCTGTTGTACATAGGGTCGCTATGAATCACAAGCGACTCAGTGGCACATAACAACAACAACAACATATTCGGACTTGAAATTATTTTCTTATTGAATTTTCTTTTCAACTAGGATTAAAACAGTTAGATGGAAACTGTATGAAAAGAAAGAGCCAAAGAGTTAAATTACAGAATTTATGTATGGCAAATTTTTTTCCCCAAATGCCTTTGATTTTTGGATACTAATTCATATCTTGATGTCAAGAAACTGCAACTCAAAAGTAGTCTAAGCTAGCAAAAGATTCAACTAGAATAGCTACTCAGAAGGACGTCTACAGTGAAGATACACATAAATCATTTCTGTTAATTAATGACTGATTTTTCTTTCAGATCAGTTATGGCTACCTTCTCCCCAGGTGCTTTGAATGTTGATTTCTCACCTGGAAAGGACATTGTATTCTTGCCTCATTATGCAATCATTATTTTTCTCTTCTTTTATGTCCAATGCAAAGATTAGTCAAAAAGAAGGCACAACTATGCCAAAGATCAGTACATAGAAATAAACTCTCTTAATTCTTGAATCTGAGTGTTCTTGTGTTTGGCTTCTTACCATCTTTTATAAACTGGGCATAATCACAGCTCTGCTTTTCCTCATGGGAATACATTTTTGCACTAAGTTCTTAATGGTCAAGTGGAAGAGAAGTGGGGGGGGGGGAATCCTCCAAACATTCATTATCTTTGTGCAGAATTGTCTCCTGGGAGCCAGAGAAATGACATGTTTGAGTTGGTTGTTTTGTTTGTTCCCCCCCTCCCTTGGTGATTCCATTTTCTTTCATGGAATCTCTGGGTTTATTGCAATATGTACATAGGCTCCTGTCTGTCTAATATTTACAATAATTTCCTGTCCCTAGTTCACTCATCTCTCTGAGAATTTACCTGGGAACACCATCAAATAATAATGAAAAGAGAGTACCACAGAAGCATGGATATTTTGGGTATATTTTGTTTCTAGAACCTAGAAAGTATTGATTGCATTCCTTGATCTTCTGCAACAGGTGCTTCAGATCCTCCTCATTTTTAGCAAGCAAGGCTGTGTCATCTGCATAATACAGGTTATTGGTGACTCGCCCTCCAATCTTGATGCCACACTCCTCTTCCTAGAGTCTATCTAGCTTCTCGAATAATTTGCTCGGCGTACAGATTGAATAGATATGGAGAGAGAATACAACCCGGACACACTTTCTCAACTTTAAACCATGCAGTGTTCCCCTGCTCTGTTTGCACAAAAAGCCAAAAGGTCCAGGTATAGGTTCCACATTAGCACAATTAAATGCTCTGGGATTCCCTTTCATCTCAATGTCAACGCAACTCATTATGATCCACACAGTCAAATGCCTTTGCATAGTCAATTATGTAGCATTCCCTAATTCTGAGCTGGTTAAAGATGGATGTGCAGATGGAATAAGAGGCAAATGCCATGTGAAACAATGGACAAAGGGGTTTCTTCCAGTGGACAAAATTGGGGCCTAATCAGAGAACATTTTCAGTGCCAAGGTTACAGGGCTTTAAAATATCTCTCTGGTGAGATTTGCGATATAAACCTATATTATAGAATAAGTTTTCATGTAACTTAACACTAATCAGGCTTATCTGTGTGTCTTCCATTTGTTCTGAAAGACAGTACAGCATCCCTGACACATCATTATCTGTTTACCTTTTGGTAATATTGGAGAGGCGGATAATTTATTGTTGATAACTTAAAATTTTCTGTCTCAAGAAAATCTACATCCAGTTGGATGCAGAAATAACCATGTATCACTTAGAAATTCTAGGTTGAGTCAATATTGTCTTGTTTTTATGTGAAACAATGATTCTCACACTTCTGAGTTTTTACTAGTCAACCCTGAGGTTGGGTAGGCATATTTTAGAGGTTATTATCCCATTAACATTTAGGTTTCAATTTATCCAGATATTATCTATGAAGGCAAATATCTACATACAACATATTAAAAATTGATCTAGAGCTAAAGCATTATGGCAAGTGTACTCTTGATTTCTACAGGAACCTTTAATGAATTAAAGCTAACGAGACTAAATCAAACTCATAAAC